CCCACAAAAACAGATTATTAAAAAAAGTTATTGACTGACGGGTATATTTTATAAACAAAATCTCTCGTGTACGACACATAAGTTTCTTTCCTGAACGGAGTTAGACCCGCTGGAGGCTAACTCTCATGGTCCACCTTTAAAAAATTACGTCACATTGTAGCCCCGCCCATTGGGAGGTGAACGGAAGTGAAAGGAAACAGGCAGGCTAGTGTGGCCCTGACAGCAGAAAAACAGCTGTGACGCGAAGAAAGACCTTAATAAAAGAGAAGAAAGAAAAGCATTCTTTTCAGTTCTTTAGTTGAGAAAACCGGATGGTGTGGAAGTAGATATTAGGTCAACATGGTACTCATCTGGGAGCCTCTTCCGAAGACGTTAAAACAGCTGGTGTTACTTTCCGCCTTGTTTCGTCTTGTTGTGTCTCAGGGTGAAGACAAGAAGCAGTTGCGACGAAACACCGGTGCTTCGGAAACGGTAGAGACTTACAACCAATACTACAATTATGTTGACCTAACGAAACGCTTACAGGCTTTAGCGCAGAGCTACCCCCACATTGCGAACCTGTCGAGCATTGGTCGGTCCGTGGAGGGCAGGGAGTTGTGGGTGATGCGGATCACCGTGGAGCCCAACAAAGACACGCCGGGGAAGCCTAAATTTAAGTACGTGGGGAACATGCACGGAGATGAGACCGTGTCCAGACAGGTGTTGGTCTACCTGGTGGAGCACCTGCTCGCTAAGTATGGGGAGGAGGACCGAATCACACAGCTGGTGAACAGCACGGATATTTACATCATGCCCAGCATGAACCCTGACGGCTTTGAGAAGTCAAAGGAAGGGGACTGCGAAGGTGTAAACGATGGTCGAAATAATGCCAGAAATAAGGACCTAAACAGAAGTTTTCCCGATCAGTTTGACGGGACCACAGTGAGTGGTCCAGATACCATTCCAGAGGTCATGGAAGTGATAAAATGGATCAAGGAGAAAAAGTGAGTACTACTGTTCTCTGCAGACAGAAATCATTAAAAAAGTGGTCCTGATCGTCTTTTTAGAGGAATTCTCACCACCACAACAAGCTGTGTCTTTTTAGAAACAGTTGATCAACATTTGGCTCCTTTTTTAAGAAAACAAGAAATAAAAGTTAAGACATTGATTAACATTTTGATGTTTTAAATTTTCTGTTATCTTTTTAGGATCCATATGAAGTGCATGTCATACCATTATTAAGACTGCGCAGTAGAAAGTGGGAATATTATTGGTAAAGATGGCAGTGAGGATGTGGAGTAGACAAATCCCAGTTTTCCTTGTTCCCGTCTTCCTCGTGTTTACTTTCAGCCATCTTTGTGCCAGGTGTGAGATCCTGAAGAGAGACTCCATGAAACTGGCCGATTGTATTATTTGTAAGCAAAATGTATATTTCTAAGGCAAACATATGGAATCAGAGATTCTAAATGTTGTTATATTCATGAGGTTATTGCTCAGAATATTCATCTTTTTGTGGTTATGTTCTTTTTAAACTCATACCTTTAAAGTTTGTACATTTCAGCTTGCAGTTCTTGAGGCCTGGGCTATTTTTGGATCTTACTCAGCTGGTTTATCAGAGGAAGTATCTTCTACAGCCAGCCTCAAGCAGTGGATACTTTTCTCATGTTTACTGCTTTGTTTATGTTTTTTTTTTTAGGCCTTCAGGTTCTAACTAGTAGTACAACTTCTCTGTTTTATTTCTTATTATGTGACTAAGTTGAAAAGACGTCAGCTGGCATTCACATTCAAAGTTTAGTTGTGTAAAAGTTTTGTTGCCAGTGACTCAGAAAAGCGATTCTGGTAGCATCTTGACATTACATAACTGTCCTACCTGCTCAGTGGAATGTTTTCCTCATGCTTTTCTTTCTAAAAGTTGTGTTTCAATAAGTGTCAATCCATCTACAACCTTTACGTTTGCATCCCGTTGCAGTCCACCGAGGAGTTTAAATGAGATATTTCTAGATTTTCTGCATATTTTAGTGCAAAATTTTGCCAGACGAATTCCCGTTTGGTCATTTTGTGACCAGCAGACAAAGTATTTTCAAAGGCCCGGAGCCAGTTATTACTAATAACTTACGTCATCATTTCTTAACAGATGTGTATTTAACATGTGATAACTTACATTGACTTATGATGTAAGTAACAAAGCAGGCTCAAGACAAACAAAATGGCATTGTGAAAGCACAATAACATTTATTGAGCAGTTATATTTTTGTTTTCAGTATTGTCATAAAAAAAAAAAAAAACAAAGTTTAAAAAGAACAACAAAAAGTGTTTGACATCAGCAGCAGCTGGAGTGCAGGCATCTGTTTAGGCTGAACAGATATTCTTGCTACTGGCAAAAAAAAACCAAAAAGAAAAAAAAACTGTCTAATTTGGGAAATGCCAGTAAAAACTTTAAAATAAATGTGTGTTACAATCTTGGATTGGAAGTTAGTTGAATGCGTGGTGACAAAATAAACTGCTACTCTTTCTGAGTTGTAGTTGTTTTGAATTGTTTAATTATTGCTCTAACTTACTTACATTGCTGCTCCCGTCTCCACAGATTTGTTCTCTCTGGGAACCTGCACGGCGGCTCTGTGGTGGCCAGTTACCCTTTCGACGACTCTGCCTCCCACCAGCAAGGGGGCTTCTACAGCCAGTCGGCCGATGACGATCTGTTTCGCTACCTGGCCCTGGAGTATTCCCGAAATCACCCTGTGATGAAGACGGGTCACCCTAACTGTCCCGACTCTCCCGGAGAAACCTTTAAAGACGGGATCACCAATGGAGCCAAGTGGTATGATGTGTCAGGTGAGTGGCTTTGCAGTTCAGCTGTTCATGTTAAAATGTTTTAAATAAATCTGATGGTGAAAGTCCGCTGCGGTATGATCAGTGCGACGTTGGGAAATTAAAAAGTAGGCCAGTTTTAGTTATGGGATTGCTTCAAGCTCCTTTAATCTCAGTCATGGTTTTACAGCCACGGTCAGCTGACTTAGACCGAGTTCAGTTTTATGGATCACATTCTTCGTGCTGTCCTAGAAGCTTTTCAATTACAGCTGGCCTGCTGTTGTTTTTGATGTTGGTGTAAGTCTGTCATTTGTGCAGGGACTGTCTGTCTAAAAACTAAGAATGTTTCTGATTGTCGGATTGCTTGCAGCTCGTTCAGGAATGTGTCTGTGCACAAGCTGCCGCATGCTCAGGATTGAATTAGATTCAAGTTGTTTCATTTTATTTCATTGAAGGCGGGACTTTGTTTTTTTCTTTTATCAGGAGTATGGCAGGATTTTATGTCTGCTTTTCTCTTCTGTATACTATAATCTGCATTCTTGAAAAGTTTTTTCTTTGACATGTCCCGTGACAGATTTAACAAAAATGTAAAAGACAAATATTTGTATAAAAGCTACATACTCCAGCTTTAAATTAAAGACTGTACTGGTTGCCTAATTTGCGTATAAAAGTGTTTCTACTAAGAGATAGACTGCTGTTGGCAAATAAAGACAAATTAATCATTTCCAGAACATATATGATCTTTGTTGCAAAAGCATTTCCATTGCTTGTAGTCAAACAGTCTTAAGGGACAAATATTTGTCATCATGCATATCTGGAAGCGTTTCTTGTTTTATTGGGCCTGACTCAAAAGGCATTTTTGTGGCAAGAAAAAAACACTATTTTGCTTTGAAAGACAATAATTTACAATCTGGTCTTTTTCATCAGTCATTCTTTAAATATTTATACTTGATAACATGATAATATACAGTATTCTTCTCTGAGGTCATTAATTGCTACCAGGAATTCAACATTAAAATCAATCCCCGTGTCCTGTGCCTTTTTGTTTAACCAGTTTTTAGTAAATCAGTCATAATTATTGTATGACTGATATTACATCTGATTGATTGTCTTTTCATGAATGAATAATGTAAAGACGACAGAAGTTGGAATAAATGCATACTTTCTTTGCATATGACATAATGTTTCAAACAGTCCCTGTGACCTTTAAACCCCTTGAACACCAGCAGGCTCAATATGTTTCTGCCAACGCTGAACATATGTTTTCCTGTCACTTGGAAAAGAACAGCCAACAAATTTAGAGTCGTACTGTGTGGCCCTTATTATTTGTACCAATACAAAGAAAACCTGGAACAAATACCATTCTGTTTTCTTTTTGCTTCTAATTTTTGGGATACTTTCAGGCACAGTACCAACTGTGTGTCTGAAACCTGAAATTGGATCAACCGTCATATGTTACTCCTTTGTTTGGTTGGCTTTTATCGGGGCGGACGACGGTGCTGTGCGAGTCTGCAGCTTCAGGTTTCGGCTCAGGTTTCCTCTGGTGACGCTCTGTGTTGTAACAAGTTTTATGACAAGAGTCCATCAGGAGGCGACTTCTTATGCATCAGCCTGATTTAATTGCCTTTATAAAAACATGGGCCTCTGACCCAGTTTGTCTGTTTCTCTCTCTATTATCTTTACCAAGTTTGTTGTGTGAGCCATGATGTCTTCTTTCATCCCCAAATGATCATTTTTTCCCCCCCGATTGCATTAATATTTTTAGTCAGATTTGTAGTCCATTTTTTTTAATGTTCACATATTTAAATAGTTATTTAATGACTTACTTGTCCATAAAATTGTCAATTTTTGACCAGGTTTATCTTGGCTCTTGGCTGTCTAAAAAAAAATGAACCCACCATCAAGCAGAGACAGATTCTGCACCTCATATGACTCAAGATAAGCATCACTTGGTGTGAAATAGTTGAACAGATATCACTTATTTAACTGAGGGATGCCTCCGTCCAAAATGTCACCTAAATTCGGACTTATCAGCACTGGATGGAAACATTGCCTGGAGGACATGGAGTGAGATCACGAGAAGCCGAGGCAAACTGCCAGCAGGGAGAGTGAGGAACAGAGGACGGTTCTGTTTGGCAAACAGAGCCTGAAATAATAATCCACCATCACAACTATTCACTGTAATCTAATCAGAAAGAACTCTGCTTCTTCTTTAACTGCACAATAACCTGAAACTGGATTTAAGTTTTGACTTTTCAGTTTAAGGTCCTCCCAGGCCCTCCCCCGACTAAAGACTAATTCAAAAACCTAGATTTGAGTTGTAGAGACTCTTTGCAAGTAGTTTATAGGATAATTGTTACAGAACTGAAACCCTTGAGGAGCCTGAGGTCACTGCAGTCACTGAATCTGTGCTGCTCTTCTTTGTTTCTGTGAACAGCCGACAGGTCTGCTTAGAAAAGCAGGTGATTTTCCTTGGTGTTTGATTTTTATATCTCAACCACTGCAGACATCCTGCAGTAAAGCGCATCCTGGTTTCACTCTGGTTTTGACTTGATTGTCTGTTCGGTGGTTTCCTGCTGCATTCAGGGTGTGACAATCTCCTACTTCAACAGGATATTTAAGCAAAGGTCTGCGTTTGTTAAACTCTGTGGGTGCAGGGTGTTTACTTTGGTGGTTTGCTTCAGTGACAGTTTAAACTATGAAGCAGACGTAGCCAGAGACAAAGGCTTATGTCTTCTGGTCAGTTCTGTGCTCTATAGCTTTTATGTTGTGGCAGGAAGCTAATAATTTTCTGTCATTACTGAATATAGGCACTTATATTACTCATCCCTTATAGGCGAGATATTTTTAAATATTTTATATGCAGTGTGGTTGCCATGTTACCCAGCTCTGTCTCTTTCCTCAGAGCTTAAAGTCTCAAAGGTGCCCTGAAGGTAAAGTTTAGCACTCCCCTCCTTCAAATTAATGCTGAGGCCATGTTTCTTTATGTTATGGGCTGGTTTTGATAACCGATGGGTTTGCAAGCAGGTTATGTTTGTCGTTTTTGTTCAACAGAAAAAAAGGATGATGCTCCTTTTGCAACAGCTGACAGAGCACATGCACACTTCGGTTAGGCAGACCTGCAGCCAAACTCTCAGCAGGTGCACGACGTAGCTAGAAGCACTTCTGATTGGGCCAAATCTCCTTTATGGCAGCAGCAGCGAGTTGGGCGTGTGACCTCCAGCATCATGGCAGGAACCCAGCTGTCATGCTGTGAAGTGGTTCCATTAAGCTTGTGTCAGCATTTATGAAAACAATTTGAGTTAAGTGGTTCAGGAAAAACAAAAAAAAAAAAAGCAAAACCAATATAAAACGATGAATGTTTTAGATTGGCATGTAGTATTAATTGGAGAACTGTTTTCTAACTGTTGCCTTGAATATATTAAATTCAGGTTGACAATATATTTGCACCGCTGTCTTTTCAAATACACATTTAGTGTTGATATTAAAATTATTAGCTGTTCTCATATTGGCGCTCTGTTTTTACACATGCTTGTTTTATGTTGGTGATTTTGTTATCATGCCTATATGCTGAAAATGTATTACATAACAGAAAAAAGTGCTTCTGAAAAGTATCTTTTTATTTCAAAATTTATTCAACATTAATTTTTCTGTCATGGTCTGTTGTTGACCGTCTCAGATTGTAAATTTTTTCATGTCTTTTATCACAAGCTGTACATCTATCCACCGATTCATCGACCACACCGGTTTCTGCTGTAGTCTGTGTTGTTTTCATCTCGTCCAAGACTTTTCTTCTTTTGGGCATCAAAGTAAAATATCTATTTCACTTTGACTGAACATTGTCTGATGTTGAAGTGTGGGACATCAAATATGGTTGACACATAGTCATGGTTTTTTGGGATCATTTGATTTTGAATATGTAAGAAAATAAAAAAAGGTTTAGCATATTATAGATTAATTAATGTTGGCTTGGAAATGTATTAATATTCCTTATTTCCTTTGTTTAACCAGGTAAAACCCCCATTGAGATCCAGATCTCATTTTCAAGAGGGACCTGGGCATAAATCTGCAGAAATACAAAAAAAAAAATTGATTAAAACCTGTTGTCCATAACTTTTAAGATCAAAACACACTGACAGCAGAAAGTTAGTTAACCTACATGTAAAAGCACTGAGTTGCATCCCAGTGCTGACAAATGCTTTACTATTCTGATACATTTATACCTAACTGGGTTACTTTAAAAAGTAAAATTATGAAGTTGTGTTTTGCTATTCTTGCTGGTCTAAAACTTAATTTGGAAGAGTCTTCAAAGAGTCTCAAAGTCAAGAGCCGTAAAATTAGAAGGAATCCTGGAGTTTGTTTTTAGTTTTTCCTCTGTAATTGAGTCTAGAGTGAGCTGGTGCCAATGAACAAGTTATTTTTCAGTGCACAGTTCTTGACCCCATTTACTCCGACTGCTTTATAAGGTCGTAACTGTTTGACTTGGTTTCTGTGGCCACCAAGCGTGCAGTCATGGCAGCTCTTCACCGATGGGACCTCTGACTGCCCAGAGCTGCACCACAGAGACGGTCAGCCTGCTCTTCTGTGTGTGTTATTGTTGACTTTACCAGAAGGTTGGGCGACTTGTGAACTGCAGATACCTCATTGGGACTTTTAGTAAATAATCTCTCACCCTGACCTCCCCAGTGGAAATAATGTCAGGCAGCTTCAGAGAATATCTAGTTAAATTGTAGAGTCTGACAAATTTCAAATGTATAATTAGACTCTTGTTGTAGTGTGCTGACGTTTATGTTGATGCCGTGTTATTCAGGAGGAATGCAGGACTACAACTACCTGTATGGAAACTGCCTGGAAATCACCATGGAGCTGAGCTGCTGCAAGCACCCTCCAGCTTCTGAGCTGCATCAGGAATGGGATCTGAACAGGGAGTCCCTTCTGGCCTACATGGAAAAGGTAAAGCTCACAAAGTTTATCCCTTAGAAACTGAAACGTCTCTCAGTCATCACGAATCTCTCAGTACGAATCCTTTTTAAACTCATAGTACTATTTTCTTCCAGGTACACATGGGAGTTCGTGGCTTTGTGAAAGATGCAGTCAGCGGTTCCGCCCTCAGCAATGTCAGCATTGTGGTTGCTGGTATCCGCCACAACCTGACCACAGCAAAATTTGGAGACTACTACCGCCTTCTGCTCCCGGGAACCTACAACATCACAGCTGTGGCTCCAGGGTGAGTTTCTACACACACCACATTTGGTGCAAAGTGAAGCTATGCTTTAAAGGAACAGCCTTTAATGCATAGTAACACTGTTGTAAGTCGGAAACGCACACAAAAAGATCTGGTTAAAAGTCCTAATTTCTTCGTTATTTCTTTGTTGTTCTTCTTTCAAAAGGAGTTCAGATTCCTGAGAATTTAAAATCTGAATAGGCAAATCTGTGATAGCCATTTGTATTTAGCACCTCCTGAGTCAGAATGTTGTTTGTATAACCAGTAAAATTACTGGACCAAATGATTAGTATGTCTCAATCAGCTTTACACAACTAGAGGGTCCATATTTTTGCCAGTTCTGTGCGAAATAGCTGAAGCTCAGTCAGACTGGATGGAGAGTTTATTTGAGTAGCAAGTTTCAGGTCTTGCATTTAAGTTTTGACATTTAATTCATTAAAATACTTAGATTTAAACCATTTAATATGGTTAGCGTTTATCATACTGGACATGAATCTCTGGCCCAGTCTCAAGTTGTTTGCTGCCTGTAAACAGAGTTTTTTTTTTTTTCCATTGCCCTCTATTTAGCTCTGTTATATTTTCATCAATTTCCCAGCTTCCTCATCTCGGCTGGGAAAATAACACCTCTGCAGCACGATGCATCCACGTGTTAGTTTTCTGGCACACAGCGTTTTGCATACAAATGAGTAAATTAAAGTTCAGGTGGAGAATTTTATTAATCATTATATTTTCGTGGAACCCTGCTGTTCCTCCAGAGTTATCATGGGCCTCTTGGCTTCTTCTCAGATTAATGCTCCCTCCTTGCTCAGCCTGCCAGTTGTCTACAGGCCGGGCAAGGAGCGACGGTAGGAGATATTGATTTAAAAAGTAACTTTACTTTAAACTTCTCCATGACTCTCTCCCTGATCTCTATGCTGTGCAATTTGTTTTCTAACAAACCTCTGAGGTTCAGCAGGATTTATCCTGACATCAAATTATGCACAATTGGACTTTATTTAGTCATTGTGTGACGTCTAGCAATCAGTTTTACAGGATTTTAGGGTTCTCAGAATAAAGGGGCTAAATACAAATTACTTCCACACTTCTCTGTATTTTATTAAAAACTCTTGAAAATTATGCACAATTTTTCTTTTACTTCACAATTACACATTACTTTGTGTTGATTTGGTGATTTTCACCCAATGTTTAAAACAAAATGCATTGTCAATTTGACAATGACATGACAAGATGTAAAAACAGTTCAAGGGCTGTGAATCGTTTAGCAAGTAGCCACATATCCTGTCTTACTTCCTCCAAAAATTACAGAACAATTAATTTGTAAAACAAAGAAGATAATTTCTTATCTAATCTAGTGGAGAACGTTCTGGTGAAGCCAGAATAATGACACAGTTGGGCCATCGCTTTTTGTAGTTTTGATATTAAAGCCTAATCTTTCTTAATGTGTCTGTCTCTGTGTATGCAGGTATCTACCAAAGACATTCAACAATGTTCAGGTTAATGAGGGCAAACCCACTGAGATTAACTTTACCCTGCAGCCTGTTGTCAGTGAGGCTGCAGGCAAGACCCCCCAAACTACAACCTCAACTCCATCCACCAGTCACCTTGTTACTCCCTCTACGAAGGCTTCCAACAACAGCCAGGCTCACGCAGTTCCCACCACCCCTCTGTTCGTCCCACCTGTTCATGAGTCCGTCCATCCAAAAGAGTTTCGTCACCACAACTATGCAGACATGGAGCTCTTCTTACGAAAGTACAGCAGCGAGTTTTCCTCCATCACCCATCTTTACTCCATCGGCCGCTCTGTACAAGACCGGGAGCTGTATGTGATGATAATCTCGGACAACCCTAATGTTCACGAGCATGGTGAGCGGCAAACTGCACAACACAATGAGAGCAGCTGCCCTTTTTTAAATTCATTTATACAGGATGTGTATGCATATTGTTAATGCTTTGACTTGTTTCTTTTTATCTCTTTCAGGGGAGCCGGAGTTCAAGTATGTGGGCAACATGCACGGAAATGAGGTGGTGGGAAGGGAACTGCTGCTCAACCTCATTGAATATCTGTGTCGCAACTACGGTACCGACCCTGAGGTCACTCAGCTGGTCAACAGCACTAGGATTCACATCATGCCCTCCATGAACCCCGATGGCTACGAGGTGGCTGTGGAAGGTGAGAGAAATATTTACAGGTGGAGACTGAAGTCATATATTTTCTTTAATTTAAGAATTTTTTTAAATGTAGTTTTTGGTAAATACAGTATATGGTTTTCAGAGAGTCGAGGGTGAGTTATGCTTGCACTACATATCTGCCAGCAATTTCAGTGCTTTGTAAAGCATAGCATAGCTAAAGTAATGGATCCAGTGTTTTTGATACTGTAGCTTCCAGACATCAGATCTCCAACTAAGACAAAAAAAAAGGAAAAAAAAAAAAGAAAGAAATCTATGACATGGGGCTGCTATGAAACAGTTAAGTAATTGCTACACAATTTGGAATGTCCAGATAATAGTCTCATGCTACATTATTCATACACTCTGTCTTCACCGATGAAAATTCATTCACTGTTTGATACTGCAGGGGAGTTGGAAAAATCTTTTGAGTAACACAGTAACTAGTTATTTAAACTCTTGAAGGCACCTACATCCTTTGTATGGCGTGTAATACTTTTAGCATAAGATGGTCAAGAGGTTATTTAAGAAAAGAGGACAAAAAGTTAAACTGCAACACCATGGCACAAAGGGATTTACTCTGTTCTTCATGCACAGTAACATTAATTTAACCATAAACAACACACACACTTTCTAACAGAACTAGATGTTTTCTGAAATGCACTTGTTCAGACCCATTAAAGTAATATTTAACCAGTCATTTTTTTCATTTAACTGTTTCCACATATTTATACCGTTCAGTTATGAACCATTAAATATATGTCTATTTATGTCAGGTCTTTTAAGCTTTTTCTGGATTTCTGTCAACCATTTTTAAACCTGTCCTACAAAGCAACAAAAAAACCTTTTAATATAATTATGTTTCCTTTTGCCCATGCATGATGACTGTTCATGCATGGGCATAGGTTTAAAGAAAATGTAAACTACAGGATAATTCAAAGCAGCTTTAGCAGAAGGGTATTAGTAAGTGTACATACATATTAAGATAAGTAGTGATAATAGTAGTACAGAAACTTACTAAAGACTTCTCATTTTTGTTCTGTTTGACTTTCCTATTGAACCTGCAGTCAACTATTTGACTTGGCCACGTCAAGTCAATTATTTGTTTGTAATTTGTGTGCGTTCCTGTCAGTCTGTATGCTTGAGATGTTTGTCTTCTTGCTTGCTCTTTGTGTTTAAATTCAGGGCCTGTTTGATAGTTTTTTCTCTTCAAGGTTGGTTAAAGGCACTCTCAAGCAAATGCATTAAAAAGTGGTCAAAACCATAAAAGTGCCAGTTCAGTGTTTCGCCAGCATCCTAGTTATTATTTGAAAGAAGGACTAACTTTACGTACTGTACAAAATATATCAATATTTTAACAAGAATATATTGGACAAATCTAACTGTTTTTATGTCACTATCTCCCTTCTTATTGTGAAATTCATGTGCCCTCCTTCAACTTCTCTGTTTATCTATTGAGCAGCTTTTCCATGTGACATCCTTTAGTCAATAATTACTGCAGAAGTACAACAGGAAGTGACATTTAAAGGACAAACCTTCAAACAGGAACATGCTCCAGTGACTGTTGCATAGCAATGTCTCACCACCTGAGTTTGCTTCCCTTTAGGTGACGTGAAGGGCTACAGAGGACGGAACAACAGCAATGATTATGATCTGAATCGCAACTTTCCAGACCAGTTTGTCACCATCACCGAACCCAGGCAGCCAGAGACTATAGCTGTCATGAGCTGGTTGAAGAGCACCCCGTTTGTTTTGTCTGCAAACCTCCACGGAGGTAAACAAGTCATCCAGTGTAAAAGTTGTCATTTAATTACATTTATGTATTAGTTTTCTATTTCGTCCAATGAAAACCTTATTATTTAGCACCACAGTTGGTTGTTAGTTACACTAACAAAGCGGTGAAATGCAATGTTTTTGTGAAATTCAGGCTCCTTGGTGGTCAACTACCCGTTTGATGATGACAAAGAGGGGCTTAGTCATTACAGCAGGTCGCCTGATGATGACGTATTTAAGCAGGTGGCCAAAGCGTACTCACAGGTAAATTAATCTCTTCTGGGCTAAAATTTAATTAGTAAGTTTTATTTATATGTCTATTTTCATCCTGTACCGTACCTGACAGAATTATTAGTACCTCCACAACCTTTCCTCGTTTTGCCTTTTTAAAATCCTGATAAATTACATAGAACCACAAAATGGAAAGAAAATAATACATTTATATCTGATTAGTTTCTGCTTAAGAATTGATTGCAGTGGATTTAATTTAAATGTCATATTAAAGGTGTGAAAATGCGAATTTCCATTTTCAGAAACAGAAAATCTTCTGCTGAAGAGTTCTATGATACTTTTTGTCTTGCATAGAAAATCCCCAAAAATACATAGATGTTTCTTTTTTTCTTTTGCAATAAAACAGAAGTTAAAAAAGACGGGCTCACTCTTGCCTGTTCGATCTGTGGAGAGATTTGGCTTTAAACATCAAAACAAATGAAGTCGTCGTTTAGTTGTTTTTGTGTTGAATTTGTGTGCAGGAGAATCCTCTCATGTACAAAGGACACCCTTGTGACGACCTGGACCCAGAGGACTATTTTGAGGATGGCATCACTAATGGAGCCAACTGGTACACTGTTCCCGGTAGGCCTTCGTTGCTCAGAGCTCACATAACGTCAACTATTCACATGAGTAATATTTTATTTTCAAGATTTGAAATGTGCCTTTCTCACTCCCGCTTTGAATGTCTTAACTTTACCTTAGTGAAATCAAATAACCTCACAAAATATCTCCAAGAGATGTCAAACACTCATTGCCACCAATGATGGGCATCCATACCATTTATTAGATAATCCCCTGGACAAACTAAATCTAAATTTAAAAACTGTATTTTGTATTTACTCAGGTCATCTTTAGTCTAAAATAACTTTTGAAGTGCACTCAGTGCCACTGCCGAAAATAATGAAGACTTTATTTTCCCCAGGTGGGATGCAGGACTGGAATTACATCAACACAAACTGCTTCGAGGTGACCATCGAGCTGGGCTGCGTCAAGTACCCCCTGGCTAAGGAGCTGCCAAAATACTGGGAACAAAACTGGAGAGCTTTGCTGCAGTTTATGCACCAGGTACAAGAAGCAAGAGTCAGTGTTAGCAATTTAGCACTTTCACTGTTTTCTATTTACTCCTGTTTGTTTTGTTGTCATTGTAGGTTCACACGGGAATAAAAGGCACAGTTTCTGATGACCAGGATAAAGTGGGAGTTCCCAATGCCACCATCAGCGTGGGGGGAATAGACCACAACGTCACTACGGGTCATACTGGAGACTACTGGAGACTGCTGGTTCCTGGGACTTATGCAGTCACTGCCTCTGCTGATGGGTAACGTTTTTATTTCAGAAAGTGAAACTCACCAGAGAAAAGGCTTTCCTTCCACTACCTAAAAAAAACCCCTCTTTTATTTTTATCTGTAAAGGTATAAACCCTTGACGACCTACGCTACGGTCTCAAAGGACCGAGCAGAGGTAGTGGACTTCAGGCTGACCCGCTTAAACTCGGAAAATACCGGCCATGCGTCCACTGTTCCCCAGCTGACCCGGAGCCCATCTGACAGGGAGCTCAACAGCTTGATAAAGGAGCTGTCTCTAGACCAAGGTTTGGAGCAGCTGGTCAAGAGCACAGCCACTGACAGCAGCTTCCGCTACCGACGCCCAAAAGACCTGGAAGCCGTCTTGAGAGGCCTCACGCTTAACTTCCCCCAAATTACATCTTTACACAGGTGGGTATGCTGTTAATATCCAAAACCACTGACTTACAGGGTCTGGGCGACAAGTCGACTTTAATGATTTGTCAAATTTTTGGTTTTTGAAGATATAATTATTGGAAAATCTGGATTTTTTTGTTTTCACCAACGTGCACCTTTAGTTTTCATAGTTCAGAGTGATGACAGCAAGCTCAAGAATACAGTCACAATCCTAGGAGAATAAAGTCATAATTTTATAACTCCAACAAAAACAATAACAAAAAAAAAATTAGAATGAGGAAAGCTCTCATGTGAAGTTATATTTTAAGTTTTTCAGATAATACTTAATAGAAATTGTTAATCTTCTAATGCAGCAGCATCATATTATTATCAGGAACAGGATTTAGAAGTGATTGTGCAAATGAGTGACTATATTTGAAGAAAGAACTAACACAAACCCAGTTAGACATAATTAAAACAACTTTTTTAAGATGGAGATTTTATTTTTAAACCTTATTGCCCAGCACTGTGTTACCTTGCAGTTTTCAGAGTAAACATGAACCTTTTAATTTATCTCAAGGCTGTCAACGCATCAATATGTTTCTAACCCTTCATGTGATTTTGTGTTTCTTGTGTTTAGACTGGGCCAAAGTGTAGAGTTTAGAAACATTTTGGCTCTGGAAATCTCCAACAATCCAGCAGAACCCGAGCCGTCTGAACCGAAGATCCGCTTCGTGGCGGGGATCCACGGCAACGCTCCCGTGGGCACGGAGCTGCTGCTGGAGTTTGCCGCTTCTCTGTGCATCAACTACGGCAAGAACGCCGCCATTTCCAAGGTTGGTGTCGGTGTCGCCCGAAATACACAGAGCCCTGCAAACATTTTATGCAAGCTGTAAAACATGTTTTTTCATACAAATGCATGGCACACTTCAGGCTTGTATTTGTAAAGAATGCTCAAATTCATGTATTTTTTTACCATGTTATACTTGTTCTCTACTGTGTGAGGGTTTGTCACATAAGTTTCTGTTGAAATACAAGACAGAATGCGAAAACATTCAAGGGGTACGTGTGTTAATTTGACTTCTCTACCTCTTCCATTCTCCAGCTAATCAACGAGACCCACATCTTCATTGTGCCCTCCATCAACCCTGACGGACGGGAACAGGCGGCGGAGAAGAAATGCTCGTCCAGCCGCGGCCTGACCAACTCCAATGACAAAGACCTTGACAAGACGTTTTTCGGTCCGTTATTTGGATACACATTTATTGACACATTTCTGTCAAAAAGTTGCTTGGAATAAGATGCAGCTGAATTACAGTAGACTTGATTGAGAGGCTTGCTCCATCTTTCCATAAGCTGTTTTTCCTTTCCTTTCGTACTTTAACAGGCAACTCGTCACAGCATTTGATGGAGCCAGAACCAGAGACCAAAGCAATGATGAATTTTATTCAAAGCTATGACTTCAGTCTGTCTGTCGCCCTGGATGGAGGCGCTCTGGTTGTCACCTACCCTTATGACAAACCTGTTCAGACTGGTAACACCTCTTTGTATGGCTTAACATTTTGTCTCATTATTTATTTTGTGCTCTGTAAAACCTTTACATATTATTACTTTAAGAAAAAATCTTCCCTACCGTGATGATTTATGTTGCTCAAGCCTTGATGATAATCTTCTCTTCATTATCCCCAAACTGGATGAAATTAAATGTGCATAATTTGTTTTTATAGTTAATAATGAAGCCACTTTGAAGTACTTGGCAAAAGTGTACGCCAAGAACCATCCCAAGATGCACCCCGGTGACACTGCATGTTCCAACAATGGGCAAAGTATGACTTAATTTTTATTAATGGATGCCATGTCTGTCATTTATATCTGAGTGAAGATAATCGTGTTTAACTGTTTGCTTTCATTGTATTCAGTGGGAAATGTCCCAGATGGAGTGATGAAAGCAGCAGAACTGCAAAGTCACATGGGAAGCATGAAGGTAAGACTTTTCAACTGGAATTAAAGTTTTTTTTTTTTTATGGAAGATTTAACAACAAAGTACATTTTTACTGAAAATATACACAATATGTTGCCAAAACTATTGGGTCACTCGTTTCTAGACACACACATATGAACTTGATTGATACCCCATTGTTAATCCTTAAGCTTTAATATCAAATTATTCTGGGAATGATTTTTGCTAGGTTTTGAAGTGGGATTTTGGGAATATTCTCCCATTCCCCCAGAGGAGTATATGTCAAGTTAAACACTGATGTTGGATGAGAAGGTCTGGCTCAAAATCTCAATTTCATCCAAAATATGTTCTATTAGGTTTTGGTTAGGAACATATGGTGGCCAGTCCAGTCCTTTTAAACCAAACTCGCTCATTCGTGTCTTTCTGGACAATGCTTTGAGCTGTGGGACAGTTAGGAAGGAGAACAGGAACATCCCTGAACTGTACCCACAAAACATTCACAAAGTGCTATTTTCTTTTGTCTATTATCTCATGTTAAGTTTCATTCTCGTGTCATTCCAGGACTTCAGTATGGATTTTGGACACTGCCCAGAAATCACAGTATATACTGGCTGCTGTTTGTTTCCTGCTGCTAACCAGCTGGGCACGCTCTGGGCTGAGAACAAAAAGGCTCTCCTCAGCATGCTGGTGGAGGTAGGATTTTATTCTGGATACCTATGATCTTTAGTAATGTACTTTTATATGGACATGTTTTGTTTAGCATTTAGATTTTTTTTAATCTCTAAGAAAATATTTTAGTATTCCTATTTTTTTTTAAATTCAGTTTAAAATTGTCATTCACTTTCAGGTTGCTACTTACTTAAGTTGAGTCTTAACAGATTTTATTTTTTATTGAAGCTTTCTTGATCTGATCCCTTTCTATCAGATTTACCTTTAAATCCTCATTCTGAATTATGTAAATTTTTATTCCTCATGTGTAATATCTACAGACACTGCCCTGAAGAAGAAAAAAAAAGTATTTAAGAGACGAGTCTTATTAAGATGAGCACATTATAAAAGACAACTTTCTAAAAGTTTGGATTTATGACCAATGCAGAATTCTTAGAAAAGCCTATTCAGATCTGGATATGTATGCAAAAAGTTCAGAGATGATTAAAAAAATATTTATATTTACAGACATTATTCCCCATCTCATTATAGAAACGTTATGAGCAAGTATTTGGGGACACGATCTCTAAAAATATTCATTATTAGTTCTCTTTTGTATTTAGAAATTGCCTAAAAACCATGAAGCCATCAAGTTTTCTTCAACAAAAAGAAATAATAAATTTGGGTCTATTGATAAATTCTGAGATTAAGAATTATATAGTTCTTCAAAAAAAAAGAAAAAATTAAATCCTTAAAAATATAATTTGAACATTTCCGTTTTTCTGTAGTGTAATCATCAGAGTAAATTTTATTAAATTGTATTAATGTATTAAATATTTCCATAGTCTAATGGCATAATATCAGAGGTGTGTCACAAACCATGAATGTTTTTGCTCAGGTCCATAAAGGGGTGCGTGGCGTAGTGAGGGACAGAAGTGGGAAACCGATTGTCGGCGCGACCATTTTTCTGAACACAACCCTGAAAGTCTCTACTTCTGAGGGCGGCTACTTCCACGTCCTCGTCCACCCGGGCTCCTATAATATTGACGTCATAGCTGAAGGCTATCAAAGTCACCATAAACAGGTACGCTGTGTTTTACGTGCAAATACTTTATGTAAAGCATAGATGTCAGAACAACATACAGCTATTAACATGAGCCCATCAAGTAGCAATTACGCTCTTAATATAAATATTATCTCCAGGTGCATATTAATAGATAGAATGTTATTGAATACTGAAAGTGATATTGAATGATGTATTTAAGGTTTTTCTGTTAATTTCTAGTAACTACATTATGGCTTAATGTATGAAAACTGATGAATACCCAGTTTCTCAGAAAATTAGATGGCATAAGGCTAATAAAAATTATTTTTAGTACAACACAATTGGGATTAATGTATTACACTCATCAAAAAAGCGTCTGACGTTAAAAGTTCGATGTGTGTGCACTTTTGGTGCGTTCACACCAAACACGTTTTGAACGTCAGGTTTACGTTCAAAGTCTATGTGGAGCGTTGGACGCACGCGACGCATCCAACGCTCCAAACGGTTCAAAACGCACCGCGCTAGACGCTCCAAAAGTGCCGCAACGACCCTCAACTCGCCTCCACAAAGACTTTGAATGGAAACCAGATGCACCTGATGCTCAAAATGCGTTTGGCGAGAACGCACCAAGACATTTGCCTGAAACCCTCTGCCGTAAATAAATTACTTTTCCTGTTTATGTTTAATAACTGAAATGAAGGTTTTACTTTCTTAACACATCTCTAGTTTCTAATGACTGAATCACTGGAACGTTTGGAAAAATACAAACCTCAAAATGTTTTCTTTTAAACTTAGGATTTTTAGTTTAGGAATTACTTGTCTTTATTAATTTAACATTATTTATTCTGTTCATGTATTTATGGATTAGTGTACAACATCACTTTAGAACTACACGAATATAAAAACTTTGTACCTGCAGACTAATACGCCTGATAAAAATTCACAGTAAGGATTATAATACATCTCAAATTGTACAGATTTGGCTGAAAAACAAAACAACATCCAATAGAAGTATATAGTAATAAGTTTAACAGAGAGCAAACCCATCATGCTTATTATAGAAAGTCTTTGGAGGAATTTTACCACGGATCCCCTTTACAGTCTACATCTATATAAGGTGGTGAACGAAGCACACAGAACCTCTCCGTCACTTCCATCTTTCCATCTGGGCGCTCTGAAATCTCCAGTGTCGGGTAAGCCAGCCCGTCCAGCAGGTGTTCCTTGATGGTAAACCCCAGCTCCAGGCTGTAAGGCTTCAGCTTCCCACAGGGCCTGTAGAGCAGCGGATCCACCACAGAGTGATAGGTCTTCTGAAAGTCTTCCACTGAATACCCATGGATCGTCAGAGCAGCGCCCGAGGTCTCCTCCGTCTCGACAGCTTCGGCGCTGCACAGCTGATCAGAGAGATCTGGAATAACCGCAGCATTCCTAATGTACCTCTCGTCCAGCGGTTTCTCGGCGTCGTGCTCCTCAAACATGAGCTCTGAACCGAACGGCGGAGCCAACAAGAAGTTCCTCTCCTTAACAGTCTGTCCATACTTTTTAGGGCATCGAATGCTCTGTCTCAACTCATAGGGGAGCATCTCATTTACCTGAAAAGAGAAATGACGTTAGTTTCAAGAATTCTTCCATTATCAGAAAACGGTACAAAAATGTCCTAACAGTAGAAGAAGATGCAGAGAGCTTCTTCTCTGCAACCAATCTCTGTTTGGGTTCAAATCATTTTACTAAAATGCAATCTGCCTTGTTGTAATCCAGCAACTTCATTCTTAATGTGATTTTTGTAAGTTACCTTTCAGCTGGATATATTAGGATTTTTTTTCCTCTCCAACACTTTTTTTTTTTTAGAGTTACAAACCTGCAGCAGGTTATACTAAACAGACGCACCTGCAGAAGGGATCTGCTGATTAGATGATTAGCCATCTCTGTTGTCAAAGAAGCTTTGAGAGAAGGAGATGTTCCTATTTACCTCATTTAAAAAACAACATCCTGATTGAATACAAAGATGTGACCTTTTAATTTCTCTCTGTCGAACCGTAATGCATGAGAGCGTGAAACCACTACATTTAATATTTGCTTTAATTTGAATCCCTCAGCCCTCGATCAGATGTGAATATGCCAACACAGTTACCATTAAAACTTTCAAAAGTGAAGTTTCAATAACCTTTCATTAGCTTTCACTTCAGTTTGGAAAACAAGCCACTCCACAAACATAAGCAGTAGCATGTTTTGTTCATTGCTCCAATATCAATCATATATGATAAAGGAAAGTTTGGTTATGTTAACTATTTTTACTTTATTTTTTTCTGTTTTCCAGGTTGTGGTCACTTCCCATGAAGCTGCTGCTTTTGTCCTGATAGAGTTTGATGTAGACAACAGCATATTTGGATTGCAAAGGGAGTTTGTTGTGGCCTGTGCAGGTAGCTATCAGAAGAGCCTTATGCAGATGGAGTAGTTTTTTGTTGTTTTTTTTAATGCAAGATCTCAGTTCTAAAAATGTCTTTTAATACTTTTGGATTAGTTTGTTTTTACATACACCTATCATGTGCTTGTCTTTACTTTTACTTTAACAGCTCCTTTAAAATTCTAAACTTTTGTTTCTGACAAAATATACAATTGCAGTAAAGATAATGTATGTTTGTTTTTTTTTAACTTGAGTCAAGTTTGCCTAAAAAGATGAGTAGCGCCATCTGGTGGACAAACAGGAAAGTTAAAACTTAATGGCTAATTCTTGAAAATGAAGCGTAGCAGGCTTAATAGAGCAGGGGTGCCCAAAGTCGGTCGGCGTCCTACATGTTTTCATTCTCTCGCTGGTGGTAGTTGCAGCCATTTAAGTATGTCAGTGTTCTTCTTAGGCCTCTAATGAGCCATCATTGGATGCAGGTGTGTTAAACTAGGGAGAGAACTAGCTGTTTGTTTTTATCATCACTGCATGCTGGGGAAGAACAGTTGAAAGCTTTAAAATCCCACAATATCAGAATATCAGCAATGATGAATGTAGGTAAACTTCTGACCAGAAAAGTACTGAAATCATAATTTTATTTACACTTAAAAGCAAATTTTTTCCAAGTGAATTATTAATAATTTTTAGTAATATTTATGTTTTTTTTTTTTTATATGAAGATGAAAATGTGTAACAGAGCGTCTCTCGTTTCATATTTGCAGCTGCCTCCATGACAGCGCTGGTGTTGACGGCGTGCATCATTTGGTGCGTGTGCTCAGCGAAGTCCGACCATCAGAAGGATGGCTTCCACCGGTTGCGGCAGCACCGCGACGAATACGACGATGAAATCCACCTCAACTCCATGGGCTCCAAAAAGTCCCTGCTCGCCCATGAGTTTCAGGACGAAAGCGAAAGCGATGAAGAGACACTGTATGCGAACAAAATCTGAAAGATTTGCACTAGTTTGATTCAGTATTTGCTTTATTTCTTTTAATCCCTCTAGAGTTAAATCCTTAAGGATCTCAATGAACTCTTCATATCAGCTTCACCGCCTCTCTTTCTGAATGAGTGATGTAAGCATTTTCTCTGTTACACCATCAGTTGTCCTGCTGGTGGACTACTGCCTGACCAGCAGGGTGCGATGGAGGACGATGATGATGATGAACACAGAGTGAATGAAGAAGTTCCTCTCCGGCCTCATTGATCCTTTGCAGCGGCTTTTTGTTTTTTGTGCCATTCAAAAAGGCCTCTGCTTGTTCTGCCCCAGTTTAAAGGCCAAGCTGCCAAGTCCAAATGAACTCCTGAAAACAAATCTAGCAAGAAGTGTGGTATCCCCCAAAATGGATCTTTGAAATAAGCAACAATTTAATAATCCTTCAAAATTGGAAATTCCTTTTTTTTTTTTTTTTTACTTCTTGATCCAAAGTAGAATAGCTGCACTGAAAGTGTCCGAGCCTTTGGGAGAACGTCTCCAACTCTGTGCCTTGGCTTCTGAAGGTTTATCTGTCCAGTCAGACTGAAATAGATGTAACAAAGCTGCATCTGCTTTCAATAAAACTGAGATTATGCTGGGAATTGATCCATCCAGTAGTTTGCTGATGAGAAAAGATGGAAAAATCTTTCTCGTTAACGTTTTGGCACAATTTTAAGGTGACTTGCCTGGGAGTTTATCAGTTTTGTGTGTGTGTTTTTTTTGTTGTTGTCAGGCTTAAATAAAATTTTCCCTGGACTGGAAAGTGCATAAGGAGAGTTCACCTGCACTAAGGGCTTTTACTCCACCAGAGCGGTCCCAGTTCTAAAATGATCCTAGTATTTGCTGGAGTCTGGTTCTTGTAGAACAACAACACTGTTGTGAGTGCCATGTTTAAAAATGTAGTTTAGTCTTTGAGCTAATTTAAGTAAAAAAAAAAAAAAAATGGTAGAAACTGAATAAATTAAGAGTTTTATCAGTTGAGTAAGACTAGCTTTTTGTTTCACAGTGTTTTTATTTATGTTTTTGTTTAAAATTTGATTTAATTGATAAGCTGCTGAAATTAGAGTGTTCATTCACAGATAACAGGATTTGCATAGGCCAGTTCTCTTCCAGAAGATCATATATTTACTGGTTAAAATGTTCATGGTGATGCAATGATGTAGCATCAAGATGGTTCCATGGCTGTGAAAAAGTGACCATTTCTTTTATAAAACCAGTTAAGAACTGCCTCCAGTACCACTGGAACCACTTTGGTGGAAAAATCCCAGAACTGGAAAGCAAGGACCGTCTATCACTGCTGAAAGTAAAAAAAAAAAACAAAAAGCATTAAGTATGTAGTGAAGATTGTATTTATTATTCCCTTTTTCAGTAGATTTATGTTTCAGTATAACTTAGTTTTGTGTATAGAAAGTTACTGCTGGCTTTTAGTTGTCCCTTATTTTAAACATAGCCTTCTTTTTTTTAGCTTTATTTTTTTGATATTTTTGATGACAAAATACTTTCATTTAAAATCAAACCTGGTTTGTTTGCCAATTAATTAATTAAAAAAATACATCAAAGGTATTTGTGCCCCACAACATAAAATTGTAGCTCTCAAACCTCTGACACTATCCAGGTAAAATTCTCCTCAGTATCTCCAGGTTGTAACTTTTCCTATGTGTTTAAAAGTTGTTTCTCGTTGACTCAGTGAGACACAAGTTTCTCCAAAGACATGGGAGTCACATGGAAAGCTTTAAAATAGTAGAAACTATGGTTATATTGTGTCTCTTTTAGGTTTTTTAACTTCATAAATGTAATTAACAGCATTTCAAAACAAACCAGATAAATCACCAAAATCAAAAACGGGATAGATTTGCTCAAGCTTGAAATGCTCAATTACTGTTGGTTGCTATGAAATCACTGAACGTGCATTGCGATAGGCAAATGCAGTGTTTAGCAGCAATATAATCTTGTTCACTTCAAAGTTTATCCTGACCAGCTATTTTCACAAGAGATTATTTCTTAAAATTTGCGTTGGGAGACAGTTTTGCAAATTATTTTTCTTATGCTACGTCTGTGAACCCCCTTCGAATTCTCTATGAGCTTTTGAAAGTGTCACACAGTGTGGGTGTGAAGATTTTATATAAAGAAACTGGAACTGTAAATATTGTTTGTCAATTGTACTTGATGCTTGCGGTAAATCCACACACAGCAGAACATTTCACCAGAACCTTGATGTGATCATAATATGCTAACATGCAACAAACATGCAAAACTACACAATAAAACAACTGATAACCACATGTCTTGCTTCAGTTGTTTTTTTTTCAAATATTGCAATGTAAACTAGCAGGCTATGAACTAGAGGAAAACCTAACTTAATTAGAAATATGTCATTAAAAAGGCAGTGACGATTATTTTATTAAAAGCCTAAAAGCTACACGTTGCCATATTGTAATTTAAATCTAATAACAGGTTGTGTCACATTGAGATGTTTCTCAAAGTTCACTGAAAATGAGAAAACATGTTTTGGCTTTTTATTCAAAGAGCTCGTCTTTAATTGAGATTCTTGTAAATGCATTGTAAACAAGACATCCAACACAAATGCATAGGTTAGTAATTGGTTTATATCCAGTAAATCCATATAACTACTGGTCGTTGATAGTTGACTGAAAACCTAAATTCATGTGTTCAAAATGAACACAAATGAAAATGTTTATACATGAGAAACACAAGCTCCTGCTGCCATGAACAGTGGGTCAAAAACAGACAACTGCACACCACAGGCTGGGACATACTTGAGATTTGTATTTATATAGAGACATTAAACAAAACAACAAACCCACAAAATTATTTATCAGCTTTAAAATATGTTGATAAAGCAAATGTGCATCACAGTTTTCAAATTTTACTTTCAAAACATCATTGCTCCACTTTGTTTCTCTATCACAAAATATGGTAATAAAATCCATGTTTTTGTTGTAATGTGAACAATCTTGAAAAGTTCAAGAGTTAAGGCACTGCTTAAGGAGCTATAGCTAGTGTGCCTACAGAGACTTTTAAAAAGTCCAAGCCATTTCCCCTTTTCATTGTGCACTGCAGAAAGTGTCTATCTGTGTTTTTTAAAACACAAAGGGTGGGTGGGCAATGTTCCTTTAACAGAGGGCTAAATTAATTTAGCAAAAACAGCTGAACAGACACACATTGAACATTGGTTTAGCTTTATTTTAATTTTTCACTTGGACAAGTAGAATATGTAGTATACTTTGCCCAAAAAAAATTAAATTGTTTTCAATACATCCTGTCTTTGCTTTTTAAATATGGTATTTGAGAATGACAGAAGACATAATATTAACAAAATATGAAGATATTAATTTCAAATGAAGACGAAACTCTAAAGCAATTAAACGAGTAGTTGGTAAAGCTCTGTTGGCACAAACACTAACCTATAAAAAATAACTAAAACGTAAAACCACAACATAAATATAATATATTTTATGTAAAACTACACAATTTATAAAAAGTAATATGAGATATTCAATAATTTATCATAGTCGCCATGCCTGACAGTCTGTACTGAGGGCGACAAAATCCCACGCTTTACGTCCTCTCTGCTGACTTGAAGTTGGTGACGTCGCAGGAAAACAAAGATGGCAGGGATAGGAAGCAGCAACTACTGGGAGGGTAAGGAGCCTGTGGTTTTAAATAATTTAAAATAAATGTTTCACACGACAACGTTTAATTTCATCCAGGTAATGTCAGGAGATGGGGTGTGCGTTTTGCTGCGTCAAACCCGTGTTATTAAAACATGTACACGTCATACAACAATTAGTTAGCTCCCAACAAGCTAACGCATATCGCCATGTAACTGTAAGTGTTTCTCCCTAAGCTGTTAAATCGGAGACGGTACTTTAAACGGCTTATCAACTTGACACAAAGGCACGTGTTGTTTGGTGTGTTTATTTGAAAACAGCAGGACGACAAAATTATACGTAATTAGCTGGAAGAACGTTAGTCAGGCTCTTTGACTCTGGTATGCAATAAAAACGGGCTGTCATCTAATGGGGCAAATGTTCCCGCTTTTCTAGATCAGAAAACAATAAAGCGTTTACAAGACTCCCAGCAAGGCTTCAAATACGAATGATATAACAGTTATTTCAGTATAATCACATTATGTCGATACCTACAGTTAATGACTGAATTATTCTTTAACCATAGCAAATGTATCAAGCTGTTTTTTTTAATTTTTTTTTATTTTTCGCTGATTCTTGTGTTACAGATCTGAGAAAGCAGGCCAGGCAGTTGGAGAATGAACTTGACCTGAAATTGGTCTCCTTTAGTAAACTGTGCACCAGCTACAGCAGCTCTAGAGATGGACGTCGAGGAGAGACGTAAGCTTTCACAAGTCCAGTTTCATTATTTGTTTTTGTGCAGTTACAGCTTATGATCCAAATTACACTTGAGAGGTTTTAATTGATGGAAAATTAAAACCTCTCCAGGGCAAACTACTTTTGACCTCTTCAGTTCAGATATTTTGTTTACTGATTTAACTGAATGTTCAAACTCATCTTTAAGTTACTGTAACTTCAAACTGATTTCTTTTAATTATTTTCAGCCTTTTAATGGTAAAGAGTAGCTGTCCCTAGTTGTCAGATAATGTCACAGTAAAAGCAAACAAACAAGCAACAAATTTGATGCCCCTCATTTGCTTCTATAAATTGTATTAAAGTGTTTTGAAAATTTGTCTGTAAGCTCTTGTGTTTATCAGCAGAAATCCTGTTGACAGTGTATAGCATTGATTTTTAGAAATGTTAGTAAGTTACATAATTGTTTTTTGTGATGTACGTAACGGGTCCCTCTTGTAAATGAGACAATGAGTCTCAAAAAAATATTTTTCCTGCATAAATAAAGGATTATACACACCAACTCTTAAGCACTGTGTTGGATGTGTGATGATTTAGGCTTGTTTTATAGACACATGTATATAGAAATTCTTGGATGCCTTTTGACACAAATATGTAAACAGTTCACCGAGATATACTGAGTATAAGTTTTAACACAATTTAAATGTGGTGTTCTTTAAATAAATGGTAAATTCTTATTTTAATTGACCTTTTGACATGGTGGGACTAAGGACCTCTCAATCACTCATAACTCAATTCTTTGATTTCATCAGTTTTGAATATCTTTGGTTTGTCATTGTATAATTACGCCTCGGAAATGTATATTGCAAATAAGATTGTCATAAGTAGACTTTCTAACTGCTCTCAATGCCTTGTCTACCTAAAGTTCGGACACCACACCCCTGCTAAATAACTCAACCCAGGACAGGATGTTTGACACCATGTCAGTTGAGATTGAACAGCTGCTGGCAAAAGTAAGTCTTCCCTCTTTAGCAGTGGGACATTGGAGAATAAGAGGTTCAGTCTTGGATACACTGTGCTTTATGTCAGAATTTCTTTGTTTTTCACCAGATTATCCCCTTTCATGTCTTTTTCAGCTAACAGGAGTGAACGACAAGATGGCAGAGTACACCAACACCCCGGGAACAGCTTCTCTCAATGCTGCACTCATGCACACTCTCCAGAGACATCGGGATATTCTACAGGTTAACCAAATTATTATTTGTTGTTATCTTTATGATCAGGGTTTCCATTGGATTTGTTTTTCTTCTTCCAAAACAGTCCAGCTACAAATAAATTAAGCCTTCGCTGCAAGTCTGAACTTTGTTTCGGTGTTTGCTATAAGCATGTTACATATTAACTACTTATAAAACTAC